CCCCAGCTTCAGTCTGCCCATAAGGAAAATAAAACTGTCCTGGCTTTGGCTGGGATAGAGTTAATTTTCTTCCTGGTAGCTGGTGTAGTGCTGTGTTTTGGATTTGGGATGAAAATAATGTTGATAATATACTGGTGTTTTTAGTAATCACGGACTTTTCAGCTTATCATGCTGGCCTGCCAGGTGCACGGGAAGCTGGGAGGGGACACAGCTAGGGCAGCTGACCCAAACTGGCCAAAGGGATGTTCCATACCATATGACGTCACGCTCAATACATAAGCTGGAGGAGGTGGCTGGGGAGCATCAATCGCTGCTTTGGGAAGGGCTGCGTATCATTGATTTGGGGGTGAGCAATTGCATTGTGCATCACTTGTTTTGTATATTATTATCTCTTCCTTTGATTTCCTATTAAAGTGTCTTTATCTCAACCCACAAGCTTCAATTTTTTTTTTTTTTTCCTTTCCTCCTCTCCATCCCACTGAGGGTGCGGAAGAAGCGAACAAGTGGCTACGTGGTTCTAGTTGCTGGCTGGGGTTAAACCACAACAAAAACAAAACACAAAAGCCCATAAGTCTGAATGTAGACAGTCATTTTACACCAATTTATCATCATATTTCATTTATCTGATGTTATTAGCAAAATGTGAACACAAATTTAAAAAAAAAAAAAATTCAAAAAACATTTCCACGATCATTTCCACAGCTTCAAAGGCAAGAACAGAAAAACTATCTTTGAAACTCTGCTTTGTTCTTTAAAAGAACAGACAAACCAGGGTTGAGGACATCTTGTAAAAAGTCAAGATGATTTATAACAAAAGATTTTAGAACATATGTTGCATATGCATGGTTAAAACTGCTACACAACGTTCTATTTTCTAGTTAACTTCTGCTCAGCCGGTTGCTTCAGAGGAGTAAAATATCATGAAGCAAAGGACAGAAAGGACAAACTCCGGTAAGAGGCAGGAAGCACATAAACATAAAGAATCACAAGGGTAACTAAAAATAAAGTAGACACACATTTCCATCACTGCAAGTACTTGCTTACCCATATTCCAAGTAGTAGCAGTAGTTCCCTGTGTTCACTGCAGAAGAACTGGCTAAGCTCAATTAAAGAACGGCACATGGCGAAAAAGGTAAATGCCACGGGCTTTTTATGATGCATATTTGGTGTTTAACGTTTGCTGTAATTTATCGAAACATGGAGAACACCGTGTGGTGCGTTAACCTTGGCCAGCTTCCAGACACTTACCCAGCCATGCTCTCATCCCTCCTACTCAACAGGATAAGGGGAGAAAATAAGATGGAAAAGCTCATTGGTCAAGATAAGGACAGGGAGCTCACTTACCAGTTGCCACCCTGGGCAAAACAGTCAACTATTGCCAATTAAAACAGATTTGGATAGTGAAAAACAATACCAGAAAGATTAAAACAGCACCTTCACCCTGCCTTTTGCCAGGCTCAGCTTCACTCCCCTGCTTGTCCAGTATTCTTGTCTTTTCTCAACGATGTTTTCAGAGGCACCACCAACTTTGCTGATGGGCTCAGCTGTGGCCTGCAGTGGATCTGGATCAACACCTCATCAAATCCTCATCTTCCTTGTCCTTTCCTCTGGAATCAAATCCTATTAGCAACGTTTGAGGAATGCTCATGTCAATTCCTTTACCTGAATAATGTTCACTATTCACAATTCTAGGGACACTGTACATTTCCCCTGTGTTACTGATTTTTTTTATCCAAATCCCTGTATTATGGCTGACATGACTAGCTGTTAACACTGTCCTGAAGCATGGACTACTTCCAAATATACCACTTTGCCTGACTGCTATAACCTCTGTGTAACAATTCTCTAAAACAACATTACACTTCATACTCCAGCCGATAGCATAAGATTGTATTTTACAGCTGTTACATTTCAGCATTTTGAAGCTCACCGTATTTTCTATGATGCTGTCTGAATTCTTCATGAAATAACTTCTCTTCCACCACTGCACAGATAGGGCTTCTGCTATGAGGTACCTTATCTCAGAGGCAGGGTTCTTAATGCTTATCACAATGCCATTTTTCTATTTACATACTAGGATTGACGAATAGGTCCTATCCATATTTTTGTTTACTGAGGCATTTCTTCTGTGGAAACAAACTTGATTTAGAATGGCTCTGAAGTACAGCAACGGAGAAATTTAATGTGTCTGCCATATAAAGGTAGGTGAAGGGAAGTGCAGCATTCCAAAAGTTAAAATGGAAAAAAAAAGTGGATGGTGGAATTCACTCAAGTTTTTTGTTATTCTTCTAAACTTTATTTTTAGGATAATTTTTGCAACACAAGTCTCTTCTCTCCCTCTCAAGCTTCTTAATCCAGTATGTTTAATTCCTTCAGTCCCGCCCACTGGGTCTGCTTCATTTCAAAAGCAGGAAGATAGTAGAAAGATTTCTAAAAATGGAGGATATTAGTCTTTGGCAATCAGAATCGGGAAGACAGAACTGTTGCTCACAAAGGCTCATACGATTGTTTCAGGACTGATCTGACATAGGACTGGGAGACTCTTAAGAACAGAAGAATTAAATTATCAAAGCTGCAGAAACTTCTACATAAGTGTTGCTGACGTCCCTTTCCATACAATAGCTTTTTTCCCTGTATCAAACAGAGATCAAAAAAATCATTCCACTCATAGGCAGTAAGCATCTCAGACCCATGTTCAATCTATTTCTGTACACTCTAAAATAATTCATACACAGAAGTGCAGCATTTAATCTTCATGAAACAAAAAAAATTGAGCTAAAACCTCATGAGAACTCCAAAGTTCTCTCTGAACTATTACATAAACCCCATTTGAAAATGTTGTCATTTCCCAAAGATTATTTTCCTTAGGAAAAGACCTGAAGCAGCCCAACACACTGACGCCACAGAGAAATTTATTTTCAGACTAAAAGAACGTGAAAAACATAGGCAGCAGCATGCAAATACAAGTTTCCTACCTTTCATTCACCTAGTATGAGACTAACTTTGGATCACTCATCTTACTAGGAACTTCCTAGTAAAAGGGAGAATGGTTGTAGAGCAGTCCCTGAGATTGTAGTAGTAACAGTTCTTTTGGCAAACTGTGAAGTGCAGATGGTATCAAAGATATGCCAATAACTTAAGCAGGAGCTTCCAATAAAATCTCTTCCAGTGCATGTTATACTCTGTGAATCACAGTGATAGGGGCAACCCTAGGTATCTAGCACTTTTATTCTACATGTAGTCAGTTTAACTACCTTACATGTAAGCACATCCCTCAGGCAAAAGTCTGTGCTCCAGATGTATTTGTATTTATGCCAGGCATAAGTTATTTCTAAACACGTAGATTCATAGTCTACAGAAAAGAAAACCATCATCAGAAACACAGAAATTACTTCCATCTGATCTACCTTCCAGTGAGAGAACCACAAAACAAAGTTTCCTCAGGTGTTCCTTTGCTCTCTTTCCAGCTCCTAATTGCATTTAATGACAAATATACAAATGATTTTAGGAACATGATAGCCTATTCCTGCTTATGAATGTTGCTCAGAGATTTAAAGCCACACACAAGCCACCCTAAGGATTCTAGGAGAAACCATCAATGTACTTAGAAGGATATCACCATTTTCCATCTAATTAAGCTTCTTTTTCTCAAACTGGGGATTGGAATACACACTTCCAAGGAGATAATTTACTGACAGAAAACCAGCGCATAAGGTTTAGACACTGAAGTGGCATCTTAATATTGGTGGATCTGTTTTAATTAGCTTTACTTTTCATGTAGGGTAAATAAAACATTAAGGAGTCAGCCAGACAGATAAGCGACAAACTGTTTTTCAAATAGCTCCAAGAAATGAGCAAGAATAAAGCTTGAAGAGTGTTATATTTACCTCTGCAGCTCCCAGGGCAGTTTTAAGAACACTGGGTCAGGTACACTGAGACACTGAGAAAATGTGCAATTTTTTTCCCACCGAGCTGTCAAGGCATTCACGCTGTGAATAGCTAACACCCTGCTTTGACAACCAGGCAAATATTTCTATTTTCTGCCATTCTAGTCATGAAGTATCTCAGTGTTGCCTCAGTTGATTTAGTGCCAGTTCAAGTCAGACTTTAGATGTCTGAGCTAGTAACCAGACCAAATATTCTTGATGAAGCCTTGTCACAAACTCATACACTGCTGCTTAATACATTTCCAAATAGTTAGATAGCAAAAAAGGCTGTAAAGCTGAATAGGCAGCAGAGAAGCAGAACACATGTTCACTGAACTGCCAGGATGGAGATTTAAGTAGTACATCGAAGTCAAATATGCTGCTGCTTCTATTTATTGTTAACATTGCCTTAAAGAAACGCTTAAACTTGCTAAAGACTACATAGTTCCTTAAAATCAATTCTTTATTTCCCATACTTCGAAAATACACATATTTAGAGAAGCACAACTAACAATGAAGTCTGTCCAGGCAGAACTGAGACACGGTTAAATGAACATACCCTATTCAAGGGGTAACTGCACATAGATACTATAAAAATTAATTTTTCTTAAATCTTTAAAAATATTAATTTCTGACTGCATTGCACATGCATCTATTGACCAGAAGTTTCCATTAGCAATACCATGACAGTGGAAGACAGAATGAAGGGAACAATACTTTCAGTGGGGCCATATCCCATAGGATGTGCTCAGAAACCACTGGATCACTACTTCTCAGCTTTTTTTTTTTCATGGGATAAGAATAAGCAGGCAGGAATCATAGTTCAGTGTATGAATACACAAATAGAAAAAGCAACAAAATAAATTATTTGGAGTACAGACTTTGTGCCAAGAGCTTGGAGTAAAGCACTTTTGAGACTGGATTCCATCCTTGAGCCATGCTGCATTACACAGTGTTCCCTTACTCAGGGATTCTATTTCAGGCAGGATTTAGTTTAGCCTTTTAACTCCCATACTTGCAACCTACAGAGAATTACAATGTCCATTAACTGAATACGCCATGAACAGTACTTACCAATACTGGCATAACCAGGTGTTGATGGATCTCCTCCGCTGTTCAAGGAAACCATAAAAGCTTTATCAGCAAGATCTGTAGTCTTTGGTAAGTCACAAGGATCAATGTAAAGAAGAGCACCGCCAAACCCTGCATCTTCTAACAGAGAAAGCTGAGGAAACAAAATAATATAGATGACTATGAACAAAAACGATGTTAAAACACATTTTTATTATTTCAATTACTGTTGAGATAGAGGCTTTATCATGTGTCAGGCTCTCACCATACTATGCTCTGTACAAAAAGAATAAAGACAGGTGTAGTTCCAAACTGCTTGTCATATAAAACCAGCAGCTATTCTTTGAAAAGACAAAATCAAACCCCCCCAAAAGTAATTCAAAGTCTTGTTTCCAAATTCATGACAAAAGCTACTTTAAAAGCCTAACAACAAAAATAATTCTTACTTTTAAATTATATGGAGCATGTTGAGGAAACACAGCGCTAACACTCACTAAAACTGCATTTGAGATTTGCTAATGTTCCATCCTCACCTTTTTTATTGTGACAGTGAGACAAGGCCAGTGTATTTGAGATTATATTCAGATGAGGTACTGGCCATGATTCAGTAAGGTACACAAAGAGATATGAGCAGAGTCACCTTTCCCCCTACTCATTGGACACGTGCTAGACTTTTAACCCTAACACATTTTCATGTGATATAAATACCACCTTGAAAATGCCTTAGTTTTGAAACTAATCTCACTGAAACATCTTGAGCAGATCTTCCATATTTTCCATATTATCAGCAGTCTTAGTTTACCTCTTGAAGGATATGCATAAGTGTGTATAGACATACTGGATGTTTGCATACACTGGCATCAGTCTTGTACAGGATTTCTGGACATAGTTACTCTTCAGTTAAAGCCAGAAAACAGAGACAGTTTACAGATTATTAAAAAAAAAAAAAAAAAAAAAAAAAAAAGCAGTCTATGTTTCCCAAACTCTGGAGTCTGCCTCCTGTCAATCAGACAACTTTTGTTGTGTCTCATCTGTCTCATTAGAACATTACAGCTTGAGTTGGTAATGATAACCAGCCTTTCCAAAAATCTGTAGATCTGGGGCAGCAAATCAGGCAAACTTCCCCAAAGTCAAGGACAAAAACATCCAAGCACCATTACTTGCAGCAGCCTATAGATCAATTTTGACTGAAAAACTTCAGGTTTTCACTTTCACAGAGAACGGAGAAATAAAGGGATTTTATTCCAAACCAGATGAAATTGAATTGCAATGTGGGAAATACCGCCATGATATGACCTTACTGTGTAATGCTCTGCATATTTGGAATAGACTCAAGAGTATAAAACCATATTAATTTTTCAGACAGAAGTAATGTTGGTATTCATGGATTATCTTACTGTTCACTACGCTCTGCTGATGATTTTCCAAATGGCTCCAAACTGTCTGAGGAACAACAGCAAGCACATGATGTTTCCGGACTACACAACTTTGCTTCTATAGGAACTCAAGAACTTGTTACTATACCTCCGTTTCTCAGTTCAATTGTCCTTCTCTTGCCTCTCAGACCCTTCATTTTTTCTGTATATGTGTTTTTTTTTAAATTTATCTCCTAGCTGTTGGTTTTAAGGAATGTTTACGCATAGTTCTTTGTGACTTAACAAGTATGTAAATTACATGACTATACAGCATTCACTTTAAGACTCTAAAGCATTTGACGTTTAGTTCTGCTTTTCTTGTAAAGTGAAGACAGAAAAAATGTATAAAAATAGCACCCTACTATTTGACATTTCTATAAGTAAACGTGAATAATATTGTGATTCGCCAAGATTTTAACACCGTAGTTTGAATTCAGATAGAGATGCAAGTGAACCTGTGAATCACCTGTGTGATCCTACATCCCTTATTCAAACAAGCAATCCCTAGATGAAAAGGGGTAGTCTCTGAGAACTCTATTCAGATGAATATGAGTATGCAGAGTGAGAATGTAAGTGACTAGCACAGATGTTTAAAAATGTAAAATGTTAAAAATGTATTACAGACCTTTAATGTATTGCAGGAATAACAATTTCCAAAATGGTAGGTTCTTTTATTATTGTGTTGTTCTGTTTCCAACTCATGTTCATATTCAGCTATTCAGCCAGGATATGACTGCACAATAAAAGGGGTGGGGACACTACAGGAGAAGCAGGACACATCATAGCTAAATGATGTAACAGCCAGGATTTAAATAACAACCGTCTTTTCCTCCATCCATATCCATTATCTTTTTATTAATCTTCAGTCTTATTTAATAGCACAGAATACAGGAAACACAGATGTGGTCTTTTTTTCTTTAAGAGAGTTTAAAAAACTTTGTACTTAACAAAAATCACTATTAAATTCCTCTGTTTCAGTGAGAGAAGGTAAGTACACGGTTATTATTCACAAAGCGCAGCAACAACTGCTGCCATGGCTACAATCCCTAGGAAGAAGTTGTGTTGAACATGTGAAATTATAAAACAGCTTTCAGATTTCAGCTATAATTGCTGCTTTTTAACTTTTCAACAGTGACATCACAACTATGCCAACAATAAATGACTACTGCTGCTTCCATTTTCATCTTAAGTGAGTCAGCACCTCAAGAGCCATAAAATGCCCTAGCACAAAGCATCTGAGGAAGGTACTGAATATTTTTTTACATGGCCAATGATTGTAGATTAAGTCCTTCAGGTAAACTGGTACACACCTATTCAAATCAATGGATTATCTTAGATTGTAGAACCAACTAACAGCAGAATCTGCTCCTTATGGTTCTGGGTGTATGCCTCCTACCTCTCCCAAAGCCACAAACATCTCCAAATCAAACGGAAACAGCAGAACCCTTGACAGGAAAACAGGTGCTGGTGCCCACTGTTAACTCTTTTGTTGTTCAGGGCTGCTTAAATCCTCAGTTTTTAGAGTCACTTAAAAAACCCCCAGTAACTCTTTTAATCAAGTATATTAAATCACCCCATAAAACATTCTGGACTCAGTTTAATCTGAGACACTTGCTGCTTTATCAAAAGCTCTGTTGTGTAACTGGGGACAGATTAGCCTTGTAAACTCTACACACCATAAGATACCATTAAATTGCCTTCTAAAGATGATGTAGCTGAAGCAATGAAAAGACACCGCTTTCTTTTAAGTAGTGACTAGTGATTTTGGAAGCCTTTATTTTACTCAAGGAGGTTCTTATACAGTAAGGTAACACTTGAATGTACAGTGCAATAACTACAATACCAATAGCTTTAGATACATTAAGAGGGCACCCTAGTAACACATTCGAATTTCTGGACAGAAGATCAAGATAACTGATCTGGAAGAGTAAGCAAAACCAATTCTTTATACAGGCAGATTGCAATAGTCTAAAGAACTTGGTTTTGCTCTAACAGGAGAACTCAAAGCTACTTCTCCATTTTAACTACACCATCTCTGCACGTTGCAGAGGAAACATTTATCTTTTGTATTGGCATACAGGTAACAGAGATCAGGTCTGTACTCTACATTTGAGCGAGGATTTATTGTTGGTCTTTGGCCACAAACCTACTCGCAGATAGGAATTAGTACAAAAATAAGGAAGTTGAGCATGATTCTTTGCTGGAAAAAAGAAGCAACAAGAAGCAGGAGGCCACTACCTCTCACAGCTGACTTCTAATGTGTTTTATCACTCCTAAGGCTAACGTGTGCCTGAATGAATGCTTCATCATGAGGTTATGTTAGTGATCTGAATGCAGAAACAAACCTGTCAAAGAGAAGCGACTACAGCCTCTCTATATGAAACTCCAGCATAATGCGTAAGAGCTGTCCTTAAATGACCGGTTATAAACAGGGAAGCAATGCAGCAGGTACTGGCCTCAAGCAGTATTTGTTACCTTTCAGCTGAGAGCAAAGTCTGCCTCCCTGAAGATCTATTCCCTTGGTTTCCTCTTCCCAGCTGAGACTATGCTTGCACTCCTCAAGCACCAAAAAGCACACGAACAATCAGGTAATCAGGTTTCATTCTTGTCCAGAGATTGGACTGGTTACCTGCTAACCACAGAGCCCCAGAAAGATTAAAAACATGCACATTGAGGCACGTAGCTGCCTAAGAAGTACTCTCACTTTCCAGCTGAAAATAAAGTCTGACTGCATCAGCACTACTCTGATGTTCTGTTCATGGGAGCCACATCTGGGATGAGTTTCAGCCATCATTTACTGAGCAGAGAGCAGAAAAGCACATCACACTGTGGTCTCATCTGGATTACAGCAAGTAAGAATGTGGAGATAGCTAAGCAAGGGCTTCCTAAACTAATCTCTCAATGCACTGAAAATCCCATCTTCTCTGATCCAGAAAGACCCTCATGGCTTAAAGACAATTAAATGAGCATGTCATCTTTTCTCTCCATTTAGTTAATTCCCAGTAGTAGTTGTTTACAAATGATTTATAAAGTAGTAACGCCAGATCAACTGATGAGGTGCATCACAACATAGTATATTCCTAAAAGTGACAGTTAATGATGATTATGAATACGTCAGAAAAAAAAATGACGCAGGTAACTGTGGGTTATATCAACGTACAATTGCATATTAAAATAGCTTCTCATTATTAGCAATTCTTCCTGCCATTTTTTCAAGTGATCCCAAAATACAACCAAACTTTCTGAGAACCTTGCTCTGCCACTCTCTAGACAGTTGTCCATCTTTGTGAAACCTCTTTTAAATCAGTCACGGCGTTAAATGCGCAGACAGGTACAGTATCAGCATTGTGGTTTGTCTTCCTCTCGTTCTCCTGGTGCAGGTCATCGCTTCTCTCTCCCCTTTGACCCTCCCCTAAAGTAATAACAGCTATGCTTTCTAAGGTGTAACACCAGCTCCTTTACTGATAAATACTGCCTCTGTTAGGCTTCTTTAGTCTACTTTCTAGGCTTGTCTATTTATGAGACTTGATCCACAGTAATGACCGAACCACTGACCATTTGGCAGAGAAGACTTCTTTCACAGGAGGAACTATCTCAGTATATTCCTGCAAGCTTACTGAAAAGTAAGATACTGAGCAGACATGAGGTAGATCCTGCTAATACACCACACTGAGAAGGCATCACTAAAATGTGGAATGCTTACCCCTTAATGGAAGGGGGAAAACCATGCAAGAAATCA